AACACAACGTGGTGCGATCATCCCCCTTGCGCGGAGTGAGGGTTCTCGACCCCGCACAACATAATCTACTCGACCACCATCATGGTTACCGCCAAAAAAAACCCGGTAACCTGGTTGCCGAGTTCACGGAGTGAGTTGGCTTGTTTTACAACGTCGTTGCCAAGCGATGAAAACCCAATCCCGATGGCAAACACCGGGGGGGGCAGCTTGTTTTACAACGTCGTTGTCAAGCGACGAGAACCCAACCCCGATGGTAAACACCGGGAGGGGGGGGAGAGGGGGCAGCATGGGGGAAGCTATACTATCCTTCGGATCAACGACAGAAACGGTGGCAACAGAAGAACTGCGCGCGTCTACCAAGGCTGTGTGTGTGTGTGTGTGTGTGAGTGTTGGCCCCATTTTTGCTTACACCTGCTCTAGATGTTAAACTATCAGCCGGGGTTACACATGAGGAAGGTCGCGCAGGACCTTTAATTTGCAATGAAGACCGGTAAATATTTTTACCCCACCTTTCCTCATGCGGCACGTGCCTTCGTGTTTATCGCGAAAAGAGTTCAGCCGTCGCTTGCTCGTTGACCGTGAAGTCGAAATGTGTGTATTCGCGAAATTAGTCATTTTCCACTGCAATTGTAGGCAAAGAAACCCCTCCAGAGAGAGAATCGAATCCACAATCTGCTCCTGCTATGTTAGCGTGGTTAACTACTGACCACCGAGGGGAGATGTCATGAGCAAAAATCGTGCGACGCGTTTACTCGAGAAAGTATCGGTCCAACACACGGGTATTTTGTGATCGTCAAGAGTCCCAGCACAGACCAGCAGCTTTCGTCAAGCGTGTGAAAGATTGCCGTGCGGTGAGGGCGGTTGCCTTTGACGGAGACTTTCACACACGAACGTGCCTAAAAAAATAGCACTCTGGAACTGTGCGATGTACTTCAGTGCCATTCCTGTTTTTTGTCTTTGCCGTTCATCGCTCTGCTGCTGAAACTTCCAAATCCATGCTGCGTGTCTGCGAATAAAATGCGCACCCCACCCTCTGACAGCGGGAGCTACGATGAGAGCGTGCGGATCTGGGATGCAAGAACCATTCGCGAACCCGTGTCGTGCACCCCAACGGGGGGGGGCTTGTGGCGATTGAAGTGGCACCCAGATCCCGACCGAGGACATCTTCTCCTTGCCGCCTGCATGCACGCGGGGATGCGTGTCTTGGACACGGGGATAGGCATAAGTCATCCCCTGGGGCACGGGTCGCAATCTAGCTTGGCCGGGAACGGGGAAGTCGAAGTGCCGAAGGGGATAGTGGCAAAATACACACGACATGCTTCGATGGCGTACGGTGCGGATTGGTGCCTTTTGCCGACGATGCTGCGAAGTCGCAGGGCGGTGATCGCGAGCTGTTCCTTCTACGATAGTCTATTTTGCCTTTGGCAGACGCCCCCGTTGTGGGCCCAATAGGTCCATAGACGTGACGATAGCATCGCGTACTATGCATACATGGAGAGTTGGAAGCAAACTGAGAATGGAACACATGTTTTCCGTGAAACATGTTCGTGTTCCTCTGGATGCCTCATACTGCTGGGGTGACTACATTTCAGCCAGAACAGATATACCGCCATTAGCGAGGCGCCTGGCCTTTAGTCTACATTTGTATATTTTTAATGGTCTTGGCATCGCTTGCCACCCCTGCTGGAGTCACGGTTGTTGGCTGTCGTCTGTCCCATGTGTTCAATGCCCATCAAGTTGGCAAGTCATCGTGAGTGAGGGGAAAGTGCTTGCCTACTGTGGAGAGTGCGGTTGCACTCGAATGATCGGCGGTGGTGACTGTTCCAGCCACTGATTGGTAACACATGTACTGTACCTCTCAATCTGAACGAAACCGGTCGTTTCTTTGTTCGGCGGGATGACAATTCAAGAGATGCGAAAACGTAGCGTAACAAGGAGGCTAAAGCGTGTAGTCGGCATGCATACCATGGTAATCATGTATACACAAACTGCACCGATTTTGGCATGAGGACTGGTAGAAATACTTGCTCTGACCTTGCCGAAGACATAATCCCTCCCTTCGGGACGAAGGAGCAACGCACGTGAAGAACACAATCAGCAGTGCATTTTGGTGGCGTGAAATGTTTGCCGGCATCCACCTCTGACGCAGGTTCATTTTGTTACACATTGAAACACACGTTGCGTATGGTGCCTCGACGATCAGGATAGGGTTTTAGTGAAAGGAGCGCTGGGTACAAGCCGCAGCAACAACAGCAGGAACCATCGATTCAGATTGAAAAGCGGACGATATTGGCAAGTGTGTGGTCTCTCTCCCTCTCTCTCTCTCTCTCTCTCTCTCTCTCTCTCTCTCTCTCGTAGCTAGGGGTGTGTCGATCGCGTTCCCCTCACGTCCGAGCTCAACATTTTTTTCGGCTGGGGGTCGACAACGGGCTATTCGAGCCACAGGGGACGAGACGGCCGATTCTCTGGCGTCAAATCCGCAGGACGTGCGAGTGGCGGTCTTGTGAACAGCATCGCTTGAACCACCACAATTAATACGTTCCCCGTGGGGATCCTGCGTGAAGCAAGACGCTTGCAAAATTTCGTCGCTTTTCCGAATCCATTTCGGACGAGGAAGCAAGTTTGTCCTTGCGTCCCTTCGGGATTGAAACGGATCAACCATTCATTCCGCTTACTTCGAGCGTAGTACCGGCGGTGCATTAGGAACAACGCAGCACTCGTTTTGAAGTATTTGAGAATCTTGTACCGTACTGTGAACTCTGAACGAGCTCAACCCCTTACGTACTCATCCACGCGGGTTCGACACAGCCATTAACCTGCTAGCCACAAAGTGCAAGAAACCACACGAAGCACGATCGCCCTCTGGACCGGCCCTCTTGTGTTTTCCCGCAATACTGTTGAGCCCAATATGAAAGTTCAACCCTTCGAGAGGATTCATTTGTTTCTCTCGCAGAGGCACCACAATTCTAGTCTATACAGTAATTTTCAAGACACAAACACCAACGCTGACGCCATCCTGACAAATAAATATGGTATCGTAGACTCAACTAGGCGGCGAAGCTAGCTCTATGCTTCGGAGGAGTCAACGGCATCTGCAGCTCCACGTGTCTTGGATGTGTGACTGTCGCCCGTCTGTCACCCCGCCGGCTGGACAGGTTGTGCAAGGGACTAACGTTTTGAAGCGGGGAGGGGGGGCGGTAGGACGGAAGTGGGGCAAGGAAACGGACAAATTTCGGGACGAACGGGGACTGAACAGGATCGGAAACCGGCAACTATATCATCGCTGAAACCAGAAAAAAAAATCGTTCGCCAACCCTCACCACAATCGGAATCAAAGTCGCATCCGAACCTGTTGACGTTCTTCTTGAGAGTAAAGCTGCGTCCTCTGCGAGACGAGCGAAGGGGGGTGACCGGGCTGCCCTTTCGAGTTCGTTTGTTGCGGTATAACCGGAGAGCAAATGCCCCTCCCTCGCGAAAGCGTAGGCTGTTGCATAAAAAGGATGAGCGGGCAGGGTAGGGGCTGGGTCGACCTTGTTCTGCAGGCAGTCAGGCTCACAATTTAGACGTTCCTGAATGATGCCATTCGTGCCACGCGATTTCTGTCTACCAGTCCCTTCGTCTCGACGTCATCACCGGGAGACAATGCTGGAGTTGCAGTACAGCACTCAGCACTCATCCGTTCAACCGACGTTCCGAGGACAACACAAGCGAACTATTACAATAGGCCTTGCGACATCACCAGACGTTCGAAAACCCGTGCATCACACCTCTTGATCACTTCCACATATCCTCGAGGAAGCAGACGCGGATCGTACTCCACAAACACGTCGGCGGTCTCTTCAGGGAGAAGGACAGGGAACGCCAGAGCTGCGAAAGTAATGTCCGCTGCGCTGATGCTGTCGCCGCATAGGTAGGCCCGCCCGTCGGAGAGCAAGCGCTCCACCAATCTGCAGGTGATGGGATATAAATTGACTGAAGGGGTTCGATGTGCGGAGCAATCGGTCCACACTGATCATAAGGGAGGATTAAAAAGTAGGCCTCTCCTCATCTCTTGGTAAATGCGGCGTCCAGAAAACCCGCCGCTGATGCTATATCCCGCCAAACTCGAACTCATCCGGCGTTTCATGGCGAACCGACTACTCACCCGAATGTTTTCTCGATGATCTTCATGTTGCTCCTTATCCCCCCTTCCAGTCGCAAACGGTTATTCATCGTGTTCACCAGACCCACCCCAAGCGTGGGCATGAGCAGTCGTTGCCACAGCGGTAACCCGCGAGAGAACATCTTGATCGTTTTACTGCGCATCCCCTGTACCGCAGCAGTCGGAGGCATCGATGCGACTTGGAAGTGCCCAATGATTTCAATATGTCATCACCCTTAAAGATGAACAGGACGTGAAATACAACCGCAGGAGTCAACTTATCTGCGGTCACTTGGATGCATCATGCATGTGGCCTGCAGAGAATGTGGTTACGGAATGCATCAATCGAGAAGGGTGACACGGGGAAGGACCAACAACAACCACAACTTTCTCCAGTACCTCTTGAAAAAGGTAGGCATACACCACACGCATCACTGCCTGACCGAAAGCTTGTTCGAGCTCCTTCTCAAGCTCGTGGGCGCCTTCGGGATACATCCAAGCACGCCATCTAGCCGTTGACAGGTGTTCTGGGCAAAGAGGAGCAGCCGGCAAGGGTCAAATTTACAGGCTTCATGACCCGAATACCCTCTTCGTGGTGCAATCACGACACGCTGGGAATAGTGATCAAAAGCCAACAGGATACAAGAATAGCGCTGGATTTCGGGTTACCAATAACTATTGTGCTCTCAGACCTCTCCTGTTCTTGGCATCGACGTGTCGTACTGTAGACCACGCGAGAACAAACGAAAATGTGTCTTACCCACAAGAGCAAAATGTGTCTTACCCATAAGAGCGGGAACAGTCTTGAGGCTCTCGCCCCGGCCTTCGTTTGTTGATATTACCGGCAGGGAATCGTCCGCACCGAGAGAATGGTACATGGCGGTAGGTCTTGCAAGAAAAATGGCAACCGGAACCTGGGTTACGGACAAGAACCGGTTCTCATAACAAATATGGATGGGTATTTTACGGAATATCCCCAAACTGACGCAGGAAAGAACGCTATCCCCGAGGGTAAGACAGGTCTAGACCCTCGCTTGCTCGTACAGGCCAACGTGCGATGCCTTAAGCAGGCTGCGCTTCGATCAGACACGCGATTGCGCCCCCGGCGCTTCATTCCCGACGCGCACCGACGGGTGTTCCACGGAGAGGTCCATCAGTGTGGTGTTGTGATCTTAATGGTGTGCCTTCACTTCGGTGCGCTCGGCCGTTCCAACATGTGAGGTGTACCGGCCGAAAACGCACGTCTTCGAATTGGTGCGGGCCAAGAACTGGTGTTGCTCCAAGGAACGAACAGAGCAAAGCAGTTCAAGCTTAAGGATAGCACTCGGAGCCCATCCAAGGTCGGAAGGCGGGATGAAGCATGCGAACAAGCCACTCGCACGGGGTCTGAAACAATCGAAGACTAATCCATCAACGGCGTGTTTCCTCTTTACTGTCAAATAAGGTGCTTCCAACTCCGAGCGGTGGGGTCCTTCATACACGACTCCTCTTGGGGAGTAGGTGGCTTGCCTCCCGGGGCGACGCAAGAGGGCGCGGCCTGTGTCATCGCGGTCCCATGGTTGCATCTCAACGCCATGGCCTGCGGTGCTGAGTGCCGGTTTTTCGTACTATCTGCAGAATTTTCCTGGAATTTCATTGATGTGCGGGCTAGTTTTTCTCGCTGTGACGTGTGCGTTAGTGTGTGCTGCTCGGCTAGTGGCGTCTTAGGCTCTTTGCTGCAGGTTCTACTGCTGTCACCCCCCTGCGTTTGATCACTCGCTCTGACGTATTCGTGTTGCCCATGGTCTGTGGGACTTGTGTGCGTTGCGCAGGAAAAAACGGAAGTCTTCCTGATTATGCCAAGCAGTTCTTTTCGTACTTCTTGCGAAGGCTTTCTTCACGCGGAAGACGTCCCCGGGGTATAGAGTCAATCTTTTCAACTTTGCGTGTAAGCGCCACGGGTGGCTGGCGGTCCTCGGGCGCTGGCGGTACCGTACCGACGGTCCCCTTGCGTGCCCATGAGAAGGAAGCGTGGGAAAAGACTTTCCTCCGCCAGCTGAGTATATCCCGAAGCACGAAAACAGGCGAAATGGTACATGTACATATTTTTTGACTTTGACTTTGTTTCGAGCTTGGTTGCCTCCCTTCAAACGTGAAAACCGTTCCCTTCATCTCGTTTGTTCTGCTACCTACGAAACTTCGGTTCTCACCTCGTGGAACACCTCCCCCGATAGCTCAAGTGCCCAGCGGAGCTTCTCTGTGTAGTTGCTATAGCGCAATGTAAACATCCGGTTCGTCTAAACTTGGTACACCACACGGAAGAGGAAGAGCATCGGGGGTTGGCGTTTGAGGCTACAGCTGCTTTGCCATCGTAATGGCGATAAACCTGGATATATTGTCTCGTATTGTAAACCGAGGCTCGGTATCTCAGGTTGGGGAATCGCCTACGTTCGTCGAGGACATTCACTTCTTCGGCAATAGCGCGCTGGGCACAATTGGATGGTGCAGTTTCAGATGCTAAGACAGCATCAGCATTACTGGAGGTAGTGAGGGGACGAGGTGGCGTGACCTTTTCGCTTTTTTTTGGGAGGTGCACGACCATGCACCACCTTAGATAGGTCGCGATATCTTGGTGCAGCATAGACAAAAACTCTTCCAATACTTTGCTCGTGGAGGCCGCCAACAACTGTTGGGGAGGACTACGAACGTCTTCATTTATCCATGAGTCCGGCAATGATCCCATTGTGGTACCGCACATCGTCACATCGTATCCGTGAGAGTGGACAAACTCGCAGGACCTACATATACGAAGTATATTGTAAGCGAGAACAAGAGGTACGATAGATGACGACACGCTACTTCCGGCAACATGGTTTGTGGCGAATGGCAAGCAAATGGCTTGTAGCAAGGTGCCGAAGGAAACACTCGCGAGCGACAGAAGGAGGGGGGATTTGTACACGTGGTTTTCATTGGACAACACCAATACGAGAACAAGCATGGAACTATCAACATTTCCCCACAACACCACAGCATTCCTTTCCTTTATTACCAAAAAATGATCGATAGTAACTACACGGAAGGCTCCCCGTCAGTTGGACGGCATGGGAGTTGAAAGGTACTGAGCAGAGGCTGGAAAGTATTTGAATGTGAAGGCAACAACAACCACACCACACGACACATAACTGTACGCACATAACTTGTATTATAATAATACTTCTACAGCACATAAGACTACAGCAGTCGACTGTAGGTTGGTAGATTTTTCTCTGTGTTGTTCCCTACTTCACCTGGCTGGCCGGCGAGTACCTAGTGCTCATGAGCCGACATGCCCACGGCCGCATACATGAGGGTACACGTTTGAACAGCTGCAGCCGAGCCTTGGTGATGGCCATTGCTACTGCTTCGAACAGTAAGAACAAGCGCGAGCTTGTCGGTCGACAACTGCCGGCTTCGCTCGCAGAGGTTAGCTTGCCGTTGGTCTGCTCCTGTCGGTGCTGCATACAAATGGCGACGGAAAGCGACAACGTGACTCCATGTGTGAGAGGTTCGTCAAGGTGAAGTCTCCTGTGCTTGGAGGGGAATGAAAGGCAGACAGCCGACACGATCTCCCGAGGGAACTTTCATGCTCATCTCTCTGGCTCAGAGTAGTGCGAACGAATTGGGTTGGACACCGCGAGATAGACCGGAGGAAAGAAAAAAAATAGTTGTGCTGGAGGCTGGGATATGTGTAGTCTATACCTGGTGTCGAATCCACAAAGCCAGGCCAAGTCCAAGCACCAGTCCAGCCCAGACCGAGAGGTCTCGTTCACTACCTCTGAGCTCTTGCATCGTACTCACTGGAGAAATCGTCATCAAGCTGTGAGAAGGAGATGCTATGTGTGTATCACGTTGATCCATCATTTCCTTGCTTGTGTTGAAGGTTTTGAAGGGTTGAAGCCGGGGGAATACATTGCGGCTGGATTCGAAGAGTTACAAACCGCGAATCGAACCACACGAAACTATCGAAAGGGCACAAGATTTCGCTGTTTATTTTTTCTGCAGAGAAGCGAGCGGCTGCCCGCAGAGTCTGATCCGGTAGTCTGTGAGACGTGAAAGTGATGGCATCCAAACCTTCAGAAGAAACGACAAAAGGTTTGGTGGGCGAAGGAAGAGACGGAGCGGCCTCCACCTCTTCTTCAGACGAACAGGGGACCCGACAAGGCGCCGCCACGCATCATGAAGCTTTGTCGATCACCCTCCCGAATGGCGAACTTCGTGCAAGCACCGCGCACGAAGATATCGGCGATACTGCCACAACCAGGTTGTCCGAGGTGGAGATCGATCCGTCGTCACCATCCAAAAGCGAACGTGTACCAGCTACGTCGACCTCAGGGGACCATGAAACGGCGAACCCGACAACAGGGGCAGCGCAGGAGTCCACCGAGGGCATCGACCCAAGCCTCTTGCTTCCAGAAGGCCAACAAATCGCCCGAGATCAAACCCCGGGTATCACCGTCCCAGATGGCAGCGGCACTGGTGAAAAAAGCAAGGAGCGAATGGCCCTCGCTGTGCTGGAAGAGGCGATTGACGATGGAAGTACGGTCAAGACCGCCGGTGCATTGTTTTTCACAGCACTAGAGGTGAACCCGGGAGTCATGCTCATCGGCCACTGTTTTAGCGCTACTGCTGTAATATGTATGGTCAATTCCTTGGAACCGCACAAGAACGACATTGTTTTGATCTTGTCGTTTAAGCTGTCAACACCAATACAAGCCATGAAACAATTGTGATCTCTATTCCGCACGCCCCTATCAGTACCCTGGCAGCATTTTTTTTTACTTGTCAGACAACGAAAAATGCGCACAGCATTTTATTGGCGTGCGAACACAATCGATATCTTCTGTTCGCCTCAGGCAATCGATCTTTCGGGAACAGAGAGCAATGGAGGCCTCTTGGGGCACGACCGGCAGAAGTTCTACCTCTCGATGAGTCTTGAGATTGACAATGTGCGTGCACAGGAGAACGCCACCAGCGTGCAGGAAGGAACGAACGGGGCCGTCCAGTGGGGTCTCGAGGCAATAACAATAAAGTATGGCAATGCGGCGGACACTGTGATCGTCGAGGTAAGTCTAGTTAGGAAACATCGTGTAAATCGTCATGTAGTGAAGTTTAGTGAGCTGAGATTGTGGTTCTTTGGAAAAACCCACATGCGCCGCACCAATTCTGGCTTCCATTTGAAGGGCCAAAACACGCCGACATGCGCGCAAGCAGCATGCTTACGTTGCTTCTTGCCCGCCAAGAACAATCATCCATTGGCACCGACACCCAAGTAGGAACGCCTTGGCGTCAGAGCTTCACTCACATTCCTCCTACGCCTCGGCTATTTCTTGGGGATAGGTTTGGAGTGAGAACCCCGGCAGCGACGTGATCATCGGCAAGGCAGCGATGACGCCGCGGCACGTGCGTGCTTTGGCTCTCCACCAAGACCACAGTGCACGCATCCGCTTGCCGTTGTCACAGCAACGCAACGGCAACCGGGCCCAAACTCACGGCGTGTTCGTGGCACGTGTAAGACTTGTCCTTGACGCGGATGATCTACCAAGGGCTGCAGCGCTCGGTCTAGGGCACTCAGGCATCGGCCGATACCGAAGTGGTGAGAGGGAAACCAAGAAAGCGAAGGCCGGGAAAACTCTGGACCACTCAGCCATCGGATACCTCGTGTGTTCAGGTCTCACGGCGTACGACCTTCCGCCAACGGAAGGGTTGAAGTTCGGCGGACGCCAAGACCCATATGTGAAGGTTGCTCTGGGCCCAGTAGCGGAGCGAACGAGTTCTTTAACAGGGGGCGGGAACCTGTGCGACTGGACAGGACAGTCTCTGCGCTTCCGGGTGGATTCAGGCCAAACAGCGCGAAAAGGGTGGGGCAACGGTCTAGCGGTGGAAGTGCGGAATGGCAATCAGCCTGGGAGGGATGCTCTTATCGGAAAAGGTCTCATCAGACCTGAAAAGCTTTTGGAGTTGCAAAACCGTCCCGAGCAAGGCGGCTTGTCTTGTCGTGTAAAGCTCTCGCGACAGGGCAACGGCCGCAAAGGCACGTTGAGCATGGTGATAACCTTCTATCCCGACCAGCCGGGCACAGCACTTGGGTCAGAGGAACAGATACCGCTTCGAGAACCTGACACACCTCGACAGCCCGGACAGGCGTCCAACTTTATTCTGATAACTAACGTTATGGTGAAAGATCTAAGCGACATCCTTGCATTCGGCTGGGGTGCTCTGGACAAGCCGAAGCCGTACGTGGTTGCCCGAGTTGGTGTTACCGAGAGAAGCACACCGGTAGCAGGAGTCGTGAGCGGGAAGTCGACCTGGGTCGACACCTGGCTCGTCCTTCCGGTTTCTGACGAGGGGTTGGGTGTCCCATCGACGTTGCGATTGGAACTGTGGACGTCCAACCCCGTCCAGGACGACCAAGTAGGGTACGTCGAGGTGGACGTTGCGTCACTTTCGAATGACCGTGAGTCCGGCAGCGGCACACCTAGCTCCATCCCAAGTGGTGAGCAAGTACCCCTTGACCTCCCATTGCGGTGCCTCACCGGCGCAGGTGGCGATGAATTTGGAGACATGATCCTACCAACCCTTTCGTGCAGTGTTGAGCTGCAGACTGAACGTGGCGGTTGCGACCGGCTGAAAGAGGCGCTTCGCAACCCTCAAAGTAAGCCACCTGGGGAGACCGTCACTCTACCAGCCATCGGGCCAAATGAGGGTCCTGGTGTCTTGAAGGTGATGGTTCTCGGCATAGCTTTGCACGAGGATGTCGAAGCGCCAGAAGTGCGATTGACGCTGCTTCCAGGGAAGCGATTTGCGACCACGCGCCCGCTACTGGAGATCGGCGGCGACCCGAGTCAGCAGGACGAAGCCAAGAGCAGGGTGACCGGCGCGTGGAACCAAGAGCTTGAGATCCCGTGTTATGCCACCGATTTTGAGGCGCTCGACACGGTTGTCTCGCTGCAGGCAGACGTCGTTGTGGCCGGGGTGCTGGCGGGACAAAGAGTTCTTGGACAAGGGCAGGCTGAGGTCTCAGGCGTGATTCAGGCACGACAAGAGCAAGAGATATCTCTGGACATAGTCTCTCTCAACAGAGGAGCAGCGCCACACACGCTTGGCCAGCTATCGCTAACTGTTCGGTTTGAGGATGCATGGGAGACCCCACGACATGAATCTTTGCCTAGTCCAGAAAGACCAAGCGGGCCGCAAGTGACAAGCCTACATTGCCCTGGAATCCTGCGGATGTTTGTTGTAGACGCGAGAGAACTATCGGGACTAAAGCGACATCAGGACCCGTACGTGGTCGTCGAACGAGTAGTAGCTGATCCGGCGATCCCCTGCCAAGCCAAGCCATTCAGCAGTGCGGCGGCGGTGGTCGGAAAGGGAAGACAGGCACGGTGAGCTTCTAGGCAATGCTGTGGTGTCGCTCAAACAGTTATTCTCGCGCCTCCTGTTCAAGATGTCGTGCGCGTAATGCTGACAGCACAGTCGGTGGCAGGAATAGTAGTGAGTGCCGCCGGATACGCCACGCCAAGGCTAGAGAAACGCTCATCGGAACCTTGCAGGATCCGAGCTTATTCTCATCGTCACGAACTTCCCGACTGACTCCAATGCATGCGGTCGTCCAGGTGGCTCGAGAGCTGTGACCTTCGGGTAGGACAGTCTGAAGCTGACTTCCTGCGGGGTCAGGCTGGAGGTGGTTCGATAACACTTACAGTGTCCTTGACAGACAAAGATGTACGCGGAGGCGACGAGCCAATATCGTCACTCGAGGTGGTGGTGACCCCGGAGTCGCTGGCAGAGAGAGAGTCCTCGGTCCTGTGGCACCGGCTTTTCTCACAGGTAGGAGAATCACCCCATGTTCTTTGTCGTAGACTATTGCTCACTTCAGTTCTCTCACCCGTTTCTCGTCGTGCTTGTCTTTTGACGTAGCGAGACGGCGGGTAAGTAGAAAGGGGTCGTGAACCATTTTTTTGTGACGCTTTGGTCATCCTTGGCATCAACCCCGCTAATATTGTGTCACGGGTTGGTCTCTTCGTTCTGCGACACGTAACGAAGGGGTCGTGTCGTGAATAAGTTGTCCCTCTCCCCGCTCATCCAACCTGCATAAAACGCAACCAACCCCCGCTCACTTTCAAACCATTGAAAAGGGGCGAGATCGCGGTTTCATCCGTTTGGGGTGCTGTTGGATCCCTTATGACCTTGAACCGGTCAACGTCTGCGGGTTGAGGCCCGAGGAAAGGGTAGAGACAGGAACGCTTTACGTCTGGCTGAAAGAAGGAAGGAAGCTCGTCAACCCAAAGTGAGCACCGCAGGGTTAACCTCATTTGGGGCTTTTGTGATTCTGAAGCAGGAGAGGCTCAAGCCCTTTGGGAAATATTTTTGTCGCGAGCACAAAGGTAGGACGGCCGCGCACCAAATTCTCCGGGGACATTTCTTCACCGCGAGATAGTTGTAGGAACCTCAAGTTTTGCCTCGAGACTAGGTGTACACTTACCTAACACATCCAGCCACGCTCACGACTTCAAATCAACCCGCTGTCTCATAGTCCTGCGGCTCAGCGCGTAAGAGGCTTGCCACCAACGTGCGAAATCGAGCTGCGGCCGTACGCAAAAGTGGGTCGAAAGAAGGCAAGGGAGATTCTGGGCTGCGCACGTGTGCCGGAAATGGGTAACCCGGATGTAGACGTCGGAGTGTTCCACAAGTTCCTGAAGATGGATTTCGCCCAAGCAACTCCTCTCGCAGATAACCACCTGGCGGACACGTCGCCGAGCTGTGTTTTGACCGTGTACACCAAGTGCGGCGAAAAGAAGGTCGTGTCGGGCAGGGCAGAAGTCCTTCTCGCGAGCTTGTGCGGGTACAAAAACCTTAATGGAGAAGCTGTGCTTCGGAGTCCACGTCGCCGCCGGGGTAACCACAACAGTAAAACAGCAGCCGGGAGTGCTCACCCCGTAGCATTTCGACAATTCGGAAACGCGCGCGTATTGGGATGCGACGAGGCGGAGCGTTTCAGCTGCCCTGTAGCGGCGGTGGACCAAGTGATACCGCTTCTCGAGGACGACCGAAGCTTTTCTGATGGTGCCAACCAAGGAGGGGGTCCTCTGCGCAATGCTGGGCGGGGCGGGGAGCTGAGATTGCGGGCACTATACGTGCCAGACAAGGTCGCAGATGCTCTGGGGGTGAGGGAGGCAATCAAGGTGAGACGGAAGGCTAGCTGGCATGCTGAAGAAACACCCCCAAGAGTGCACCACAGTTGATCCGGAAAAAAATCCCTTGAGACCTGGATGTACTCTTCTTGGGCGATGGTGGCAATACATGACACGGAGAGATCAAAGTTTGGGGGGAGGGGTATTCGCAGGAGTGGTACAGAGATGGTCCGTGGGAGGCCGCCGTTGGGGTTTCTTTTTTTCAACTCGCTCGTAGTCCGTCGAGGCGGGCGAAAATACCGTGGAAACGCAGAAGCCGTGGCCTGGTAAAACCGTTCACACCAGCTCATGCCAAGTTTGGTGGCAATAATTCCTTGAATGTGTCGGCAGGCTCTGTCAAGAGCGGCGGAAAATTCAATGCAGCTTTTCACTGAAAACCCAGCTGCGGCTCTTTCACGAGCTGCCGATGACGGCGGTGGGGTAGGCGATAGCCAAGCACTGGACTCCAATTCAACGGCCCTGCCGGGGGCGTTGGAGGTGCACCTGATACGAGCGACCGATTTGCAGTGGGTGAGTGAGGCTTGCTCGAGAGCGTGCTCACGGTTTGCTCTCTTCTCTCGACTACGCGTCGGTTGTGTTGTAGAAGTATTGCACAACAAATGCGCACACGTTGTGCGCGGTGGTACCGAGGAGTCACTTTTCTTGTCGTTCTGAACCAGACGTGGACACCACAAAGGAAATCACGTTCACGCTTGTTGAGCAATAGTTGCTGTTTTGGGCTTTGTAATAGCGTTGTCTGAGCACCGAGTAGATTGCGTAGTGGGGCCTCGTGTGACGTGATCTCTCTTTTCCCAATTGGGGGAATGCTAATGCTGTCCCACAGTATTTCGGCGCGCACGGTACGGACGTGTCGCCGTGCCGCAAACGACCTACGGCATACACTGAATGAGTCGCTTCTTCGCTATCTTTGCTGTGACCCTAGGTGGAGGAAACCGTCGACCCGGTCGTTCAGCTGAGGTTATTGTGTTCCGCCGGAGCTGAATTGCACACGAGGTAGGCTTGCTGGAAAGGAAATATGAAGTATTTCTAAGCCCGTTTCGTCCAGACCAACTAAAAGCTCGACATACCAACCGTTTCGCCGTCGCGGTGTGGTAGCTATAGATCCTTCTGACTCTCTTGCGAGTCTGACTCTTCCTGCTTGCACATGCGCTTCATCACGGGCTTGCGAAAGCCCATCAAAGCCTTTTGTATGGATCGTTGACGGTACTTTTTCACCGCGCTGTTTACACCATCAACAGTGCGATTGGCCAATGGAGCGACACCAGCGTGGAATGGAATCATCAATTCTCTCTGCTGGTGGACGATGCCAACGTAGAGATGCTGGAAATTCGTGTCTTGGACGGGAATGGCCCTCAAGGGTGCCACAAGCCTGTCGCATGCTGTAAAATATCTTTGAGGAGGTGAGAGGGCCAAGTAGCACCGTCCGAAATCACCCCCACTTGTCTCTTTAACCTTGCAGGTGAAAACGATGCACCCCCGATAGAATTGTCTGAAGTTTGAGGAGATAAACAAGTTCATGTTATTGATTTTGTGTTTGTTAGTGCGCAGGCACGTTCCATCTTAGGTCATGTTCAAGCGCATTTTCGACCGTCCGACACTATTTCCAAGTCATTGCTCAGAAAATCACCTAGTTCTAGACGGCTCTACAATTAGTCTTGCCGACCCGACCAATCACGGCTATTGTGGCACGTTGCATGTGCTACTTCCAGGTATGCGCAAAATTACTACTCCTTGCAGGTGCTCGATATCGGACAGATCACGCCGGAGAGGTTTAAGCTGACGGACCATCGAGGTCGAGGGTATCGTGGGCATGCAGTTATTTCCTTAAACTTTCTTCCCGAGGCAAGCACGTCTGAACCATTAGACATGGCGGGGGTTCACTCCGATGGTGTTCAAGTGTAAGGATACCTGTTGATCACGAAAAACTATTTAAATATCATCCCTCATGTACTTCCTAGGCTGATGCGGCGAGTAGAGCACACGATTGATACGATGTTGGTAGTTGCCGCACCCGTGCGGTCTGCATCTCAAGATGCTTGATTCGCAAACCACGCCACGAGCAGCTCAGGCTCAGCCAGCTGTCCGTGAGAACAGGCAACCGGTGAGGAACTCTAGGTTGCTGCCAAGGACCGACCGTCTTTGCCCGACAACGAACAGACACTCATGTACAGTATTGTATTGTATTGTTGTCACACAAAGTATCCAATCTGATCTTCCCGCCCGCACGCGGTTGCCTCTCGATCAGGTCGTGGGTCAGGCACACATCCTCCGGGAAGCATTCGCCCCGACGAATAATATTTGCCCTTCCTTGCCAGCACACGTTGTGGCGTCACCGCACGGATTACCGACCTCCGGCGCTACCGCCAGCCCGGCAGCGACGGCGGCCATTCACGTTCTTGTCGTATCCATGGATGGCGGCGATGTGTCTCGTGAGGACCGCCTAAGGGTGCGCGTTTCTCTCGCGGAAGATTCTGACGAATGGGGAGCCAGGGAACGTCTTGGCGGGGAGACAAGCGCAGCAACCACTCGAGTTGGCGTGGTGGATGAGGGGGCGGCCGTGTGCAGCTGGAATGGCCCAGGACAAGCGGTAGGTACTCAGGACTGGGTCTGTGTTGGGATGACGATTTCGATTTGGAAAAAGTTTGCATTCTGACAATATTGTGCTGTGGTATGCTGCGACGCAACGGGAATGAACAGGTGACACCCCGCTGATCGCGACCATTGAGACGAGACTGGGGACTCTTGAGTCTTCCCCCCTTCTCGACAAGCGTTTGATATCGTTTGTGGTGCATGCCCATTGCCTCCCCTGTGAATGTGCTATTACGGCATAGCGGCCGAACGAAAGTCCTCTTGCCACTGTGAGTCGCTTCGCGTCGTGAGTTGACTGCACTCTGCACACGCAGCAACATGCCGTGCGATGGATCCTGTACATTGTAGTACCCGTCCATGGCACCCCAGTCGTGTGACATTCTTCCCATCTGTCTATGGAAGTACTGGCATGCCCACTACTCGTGTTTTTGTCAAATGAATTCAAGCTCGACGGTGACGAGCCCTCACGCACGGCGGCCTCCGGAGAGCTGCTGACACTTCCATGGGACCCTCGCCTGGCCTTATCCGGCTGGGGCCGAGGACGCGCGTCAGTGCTCAAGTTCGAGGTATCCCGCAGCCCCGGGCGTCCGGTGGAGTGGACGGGATTCGTTCCTACCGCGGGTCTTGTGCACAGCCCTCGACGTGTCTTCGAGAGGGCAATCTGTCTCACGGGAAGACTGGGCTCAGAGCCGCCAACCTCTGCCCGCACGGTTGGGTCAACGGGGGCATCAGCCGATAGACGCACGGTATCACTCGAGGTGGCTATGATGTTCCAGCCTGTCTTCCCGGGAGGTGTTCGGGGAGGTTCGAGAGCTACCAGTAACGTGTCACGGGGGGTGGTTCATTCAGAGGACGCAAGACGGAATTCGCTCGATCACCCGCCGTTCCACCCAGATTTGCGAAGAATCGCCTGCGAAGGGGGGGAGTTGGTCGTGCACTGCCTACGAGCAAGGAACTTGCGCTTGCCTCGACAAGAGAAGTCGGTAGAGTCACGAGATGCTCAGCCTGAGATCTTCCTGACTGTCCTGCCTGATGGAGGCGAGGCCCAAACTTCGACGTCCTACATGGGACCGGGCGGGCGGCATCCTGTTTGGGGACAGGTAACTGCAGTATTATGAGTGGCAACCACCGCCCACTACAGACGCAGTACTCCCAACACACTTGGATTAGACATGAGTCGCCACGTTCCGCCATAGAACGCGTTGCATGGGCGCATTTTGCGCCCCAATTACCCAGGTGTTGTGCTTTACCCCCAATTCCAACTACAACCATACTATCGAGATTTGCACAGTTTGAGGGAAAACCGAGAGAAACATGCACGGCAGGCATCGTTTGACAATTCGTCTATGTTGCGTGGCATAGAACGGCGAAAGTTTGCATACTTTCATCAAACTCAACCAAAGCATTCCCCCCTTGCCCACCGCCACGCACTCCTCCCTCCATTCGTCCGCAGACTCTCACCCTATCCATCACGGACGCCGCCACAGCTCGCGTTGTGGTGCGGGTGAGAAATGTGAGCCAAGACTTGGAAGACAACGTCCTTGGCGAAGTAGAGCTGTCTTCAGCGGGGCTCATTGCCGCAGAACATGGCGTGGCCGCCGCCGCCGCCGCTCTCCCTGGATTCTCCGATTGCCTCGAGCGTCCACCCGGGGGGTCTTCGTCGTGTGTGAGCCCGGACAAGGATGCTGCCCCTACCAGACAGGAACTTGCCGACAACAGCTACAGCTCTGATAACGAGGATCATGTGGACACGGAACGATTTCCCGGCCGTAAACGAGAGCCGTCCGGAAAAAATACGACAAGCCCGCACAAGATCAAGCCGTGTGGGTTCGAGGCCTGGTTCCCTCTTTTCATCGCCGGTCGGCAAGGGGGGAGCAGGGAGCGAGAAGTCGCCGGCGAGGTGCGGCTCTGCTGCCGTTTTCTTTCCAAGGACTTTATGATGCAGAGAGAGTTAACAGCCGGGGCGGACGAAGGGGATAACGGCCCTTTCGGTGCGCTGAGATATGCGTTGGAGCGGCGACCTGGTCGACTCTTCATGACGATAAGGTGCTGTCGGGCCCTGCCGAAAGCCATGATCGGAGAAAGGGCCCCTCTGATAGAGGCCAGACTGCGGCACGGAGGTTGGCAGTGCAGCACCCGGCGGCAAACGGGACTGAATCCAGTGTTCAACGAGAACATGGCTGTGGACGTGCTGTGGACACCACAGGACTTCAATAGTCCAGAGATGATTCTTGAGGTGAAAGACAAGGCACTCGGCGGGGGGCTTCTAGGTGAGTCGAGGCTGACATGCACCTCCCATTCTGCGCAATATATCAGACGCTACATTGGGAAAAACGTCGTTCAGAGACATTGCTGCTAACTCATCTCGCTTACCGTCTTTGTACTTCTCTCTCTCTCTCTCTCTCTCCCTCTCTCTCTCTCTCTATCTATCTATCTCTGTGTGTGTGTCTCTCCCAGCTGCCGTACGCGTAGCGGTGGCCCCCTTTATCCTCCACCCGTCGATGCCCGCTGATATTTGGATCCCGTTGCTGGGCGGAGCAGCAAGAGAAACGAATTCAGGGATATACCTCGGCCTCGTTTACGTTCCATCGGTGGACGAGATGCCAAACATGGATAAGCACTTGCCAACGAAGAATCCGACCAGCCTCGCCATCAACGACATCGAGCACATTGCTGATCCCGAATATTCGGCCGTGTTATGTCGAGCCCGACGTGGGGTCGTCCATGTACAGATCATCTCAGCCCGGTGTCTCCCTGCTTCTTCCAAAGACCCGCAGGTGGGGGTGCGGCTCAGGGTCGGAGACCACTGCGGCGGTCCATTACCGCCGTTCCAGCGGACAGCGGCAATTCGAGGGGGTCGAGGAGAGCCACAGTTCAACTCCACATTTTTCCTAGACCTGCAACAAGATGCGCCAGGGCTTGAGGAAGAATCAAACCGAGTTGTGCTGGGACGCACACCGGTACTAGAGGTGGAAGCTCGTTGCTGTAGAGGCAAGGGAAAGGTCCTGGGAACGGTAGAGATTCCTATGTTTCCCCTTTGGTTCATGGGGCACATGACGCGCGCGTGGTATCCCATGCGTAGCTGTGACGGCGAGGCGGAGGCTGGGAGGGTATTCATCGGGCTGCAGTTCATCGCTGATGAGAAGAGCAGGGAGAACGGTGGCATGACGGCAGCTTCCGTATGCGATGGCGCTGGCACAATCTCCAGGCGGAGGCGATACTTGTTCTTGGAAGTGCGGCAGGGGCGGGACCTTCGGCATACGCACGCCGAGTCTGACCGTCCTGTCGTGCACGTGGAGATGTTGGGGTCGGGAGCGAGAGGAAAAACGCCTCCAGCGAGGGGTGGGGGACCCGACCCCGAATGGGCTGACGGGGCAGGCCTTCTGGCACTACCGTACCCACCTCGTAGCAGTGTCGGAGGGTTCGGGTCCTCGAACGAGGTGCTCCGGATAACCGTCCTCAACGAGCAGCGTAGACGTGGCGATGGGCAGGATAAGGGTACAGGACGGAGTGTCGAAGGAGGGGCGTGGGGAGTGGGTGAGTCAAGTACTGTCATCGGGCATTGCGACTGGCCTCTGCCCACGGAGGACCTCGACTTGGGTCACCCAATCAGCTCCTGGCACGCCGTATGGACCGAAGGCATACCTGCGGGTGCGGTGTACGTGCGTTGTCGAGTGGGCTTCGAGGGCGACACAATCGATCGCGCTCCGCCTTACGATATCCAGAACGCCAACGGCGCGGGAAGCATGACGATGTCGCCTCTCTCGTTCGGGAACTATCACGTCGAGTTTTTGGAAGTGCGAGGGTTCGAAAGGACCTTGCAACGGATCGGGATAGCCGCCGAAGACGGTTTCTCTAAGCAAGGCAACCGACTGCGGTGGGAAGGCGCGGCGCATCTGGCCGAGGCCCCAGGACATGGCCTTGACGGCAATACGACCTACGGCGCCTCTTCAGCCCGAGTAGGGTCAGGTCGTGCTGTGGCCGTTGGCGCGAGGGGACGTGGCGGCAGTCGATCGCTGTGCGTTCGAGTCTCTATTGTTGGAGAACGCTTCAGCAAGGAAGGTACAATACAAGGCATGGGGAAGACACTAAACGCGGTGTCCTACGTTCCACCCGCCAAATTGGTTCCCATTGCAGACGTTCCTGGATCTGAGTTGTTGGAGTGGTTCCCGTGCGTTGGTGTGAAAGAAAACACCACTGGGGTCAAAGCAGGGTCTGGAGAAGAGGACACTGGGCAAGTTCTTCTCTCGATACGGTATGCTCCGTTGGCAGTGGGAATCCTCCAAGTGGCCATACGTGAGGCTCAGCTGCTGGACAATGACCGTTCACCGACCTTCGGGTCAGGAAACATTAAAGCTTTAACTCGTCTGCTGCCCGCTCAGACTGGTGCAGCCATGGGGCACAGGGTGCGGAGTACACCCGGGAGGCGAGGCGTGCGGACAAGCCTCCTGGGAGAACACGGAGGAGAAGCCTATGCAAAAGGGGGTGCAATTTTTTCGTGGGACGGCGCCTGTCCTCATCGCATGCGGTTCAACAACGCCTTCAACAAGCAGCCGACTACGCTGCATGTGAGCGTGGTTCAGGGAGACCGCGTGGTCGGATTCGCGTCTGTTGGCGTGGAGGCCGTCGTGCATAATGGCATATCGACGATGGCGCGAGAAACCGCTCAATCCATTCGCAGACCAAGGGGTAGCGCTCATGATTTTGGGCCCATCGGGATGAGGGAAGAGGACTTCGGACACTCCGTGCAAGCATGGTACCCACTGCACGCACCGGACGATAAGAATACTTCCTCCAGAGAAAGTGAGCTTTCGTCGTCGGTGTCCGGCGCAGCAGACACGGAGGTTGGTCGGGTGCTCATCGACCTCAAGTTTGCGCCCCATCCGAACGTTCTCGTGAGAAACTGGCAAGAGGGCGCTGCAACTTCGCGCGCAAATGGCATCGCCGCCATGAAAGCCATATATTATCGCTTAAACCGTAGCGGGAACCTTGTCATCGAAACGGAGGATCTGCGGCTGGCCTTGGTCGACGCCGTCGACGAGTACCTCGCAACATCTACCGCGGCGGCTAAAACGGCGATGTCTGTCACGTCTAGCCCATCAGCTGGCACATCTAGAGCATCGCAAGCGGGTGAGTTCGTGCTGCTGGTGTCGGAAGAAAGCAAGTCAAGCTATGGGGAAGGAAGCAGCGCTGCGCTCTCCGAATCGGCGGCAGACAACATCTTGTCCATGATGGACCGCGATCGGACTGCCGAGGTTACGTTCGCCGAGTTTTGTATGTTCTTGAGCCGGGTGGCCTCACGGCAGGCCGACGCTGCGGTGGGATATCTGGTTAGCGAGCTAGCCGAAGACAACGATGACGAAAGTAGCGACAGCGATAGCGATGACGACGCTCTCGGGAGCGACGCTAGCAGGAACGCCGGCGGCAACCGCGACGACCCGCACGGTAGACGGCGTACCAGACGTGTTCCCAGCTTGGTTGGTTTGGTTGAACCGTCAACGGACCAGACCGTGAGAAACACTCAACTCACAGGGAGGCAAGACAGCGCCACCACCACCACCGAAGACGGCCGGCAAAGCTCTCCAAAAACCGGTTCAGATTCGTTTCACTATCCGGAGTCCGCGAGAAAACCTAACGTGGGCCCCCCAAAACTCTTCACGGCTGAACCCCCAGGTAGGGTGCAAGACAAACCGTCAAAGGTCAGTCGAGCGCACGACAGCGTCGATGTCAACCGAAGTCCCAACAGGCCAGCAACACTGGCACCTCGTCACACGACGGAGGGAAACGAGACCGCAACGTATGTCCTTCCCGAAGATATCACGTCGTGGACGGTAGGGCAGGTCTTGAGTTGGCTGTCGGCGGATATGCAGCTTCCACAATACGTGCACAGATTTCAGGATGCGTCAATAGACGGCTTGGTTTTATGCGACCTTACGGATGTCTTGTTGGAGGAGGGTCTAGGAATGTCGGATTCTCTGCATCGCCTCAAGATTTTGCGTCACATGCAAAAGCTCAGCAAGAAGCAGCAGCAGCAGCAGCAGCAGCAGCGGCATCACAAGGCTGATACGATGAGAGAGGACCGGCCACAGCCATCACCGCCACCACAAGCCTACGCTGCCAGCAAAACACTCGGTGTGATGACCGGGTCGAGCGATACAAAGGAAGCTCAAGCCGGTAGCCCAGTCAACCGTTCCAGGCGAACCGGGTGCACAGCCGTCGGAGTCGATCGAAAGGAGGACCCGCCACCGTTAGCAACGGGTACGCTTGCGGAGAAGAAAACTAACAGCACACCAATCCCCCCGTCGCCACCTGACGAAGACGCCGGTGCCAAGAGGGGTACTGGGCAAGGCGTGCAGCAAACAGAGGACACCCACAAGGACGAACGGTTTTCTGCGGGCTCTCGATCGGTCTTCTCGCCCGACGAGGAGGCGTTTGCTCTTACTATGAAGGAGGTTCGTGGGGAGTTCGTAACCGAAGAGGTTAGCGTCCAACGGTCGCCGGAAATGGGGACCGGAGTCTCGCAATTGAAGGACCGGAAGCGGTACATATGCATTCCAGCAAATGCTACCACGTCCGAGGTACACAAAGTGGTGCAGACAGCCATGTGGGCGACCGCGGCCTTGTTGGAGGACACGAACACTGAACAGGGCGGGCGGGTCGAAAGTACGGGCGACTACCCAGAAGCGTGGTGGGGTAGTTCGGAAGGGGGAAGCATGACCAGAAGCGATAGCATTGATAGTGCCGAAGTTGAGTTTGCGTCAATTGGTGAAGGTAGCGCCGAAAACCAACGGGAGAACGGTGGGAACAAACGAGCGCGACTACTGTTCAACGAGTTGTGTTCGTTCCAACAAGGTGATGCGAAGAGCTCCGGTACAGCACGCGGCTTGAAGCTCACACGGCACAGACTCGAGGTCGGCATCCGCTCGCTCCTGCAAATTGAAATGCGATGGGAACAATGGCAATTGTTTTTGGATTCCCTGCCCAGGCTTCGAACTCAGGGTTTCCTACATCCGGGCGATTTTTTCGAGGCGTTCGGATTTCAACCTCTGCTTCACCGACCAGCTACTCCTAGGGGCCCGTTCGGTGGTACCAAGCAGCGCAACTTCGAGAGAGAAGCATTCGATTTTGAGCCTGGTCGTAGTTGCGACAAAAGCAGCTTGCTTTCTTCAGAGGCGACATCGGGATGGGAAACATCCGCAACCCAAGACCTATCCAATTTGCGGGAATTCGTGCTGGGCATCGCGGATGCTTTGCGCACGTGCCGAGCAACCTTGGGGGGTGTCATATCTACTTTTGATAAACGAGGAACCGGGAAGGTAAATAAGTGGGCCTGACATCGTTGTTCGTACGTACAGGCCGGCCTCGTTCTTGTCGACGAATACTTACGCTTGTTTCACAGGCTGCAAGTTCTTGAGTAGAACCTTCTCAAACAATATCGCATAGGTTATGGTTCTGCCTTATGGTGCAACTCCTCGGCCACTCTCACCGTGGTTAGCTCGTCCGCTGTCCATGCGGACGTTCACGTGCAGGTCTCTGTGTCCAACTTCATGTCTCTTGTCAAAGCGCTCACGAGAAAGAGGCGGTATTCCGCCCGTGCTAGGGCTATGACCGGCGGTTTTGACAGGAAGCAGGCGTACCTACTGCTCCGCTGCGTTGACAAAGACGGAAACCGAAGTGTTGTGCTTCGCGATCTGGTAGCGTTCGTGTTCGCTACCTGGACCGAGGAACTGGAGCGGCTGACAGGGGGGAAAAGCGAGCCAGAAGAGGTTCGGCAAAGAAGACGTCAGCTGCAGAAGGCATGTACATGGATATCGCGGTCGTTACCTTGTAGTAGAACACCTGTTTGAGGGCGAGAGAAAATCCACTACGTGGACCTGAACGACTTGGGCGTGCAAAGCCGACGGGGTGGTTCGCGCCGTTAAACTACTCCTGGTCATATAGTGCCGATGGACAACTGTTCACATTTGATTGGTTGATAGCGCCATTATACGCTCTCTCAGGAAGCGGAAGGCAGCGACTCTTATGAAGAACCAGTCTGACATGCCATTGGTTGGTTAGGTCAATACTAACACAATTCCCTAAAAAGATCTGACGTGTCCAAGGAGACAGAGAAGCTTGGAAGCCTGAGTTCGCACCGTGTTTCAACAATACTTGTACTTTCCTTGGAACGATTGGGCGATCTCTAGCAGGACCTGAGACGTCACTTTCCGGCAAACTTTCGTCGAGCGCTAGGTCTTGATGCCGTCGAACCGGGCACTGGGCACCAAGGGCCCTTTGCCGGCCTCCTCGCCCGGGTTGGCCTGGACCTTCCAAGTCCGCCGTCACCACGCTCTCAGCCCACATTCGTGTCGCCACGGCGTGCTCACCGCCAGCGTCGAAGCGAGACTGCGCACAGCAGCGCGTCGTGTCATGTTGCAGACATCAACTTCGAACGCGACTCCGTGGTAGAGAAAGAACGTGGAGAGCGATGGCAAGGGGGGCGGAAAGTGCGGGCCATGTCCGTGTCTGCACCTGCACGGCGATCTCGGGAGGACAGACCTGCAACCTCTGACGGGCAAAGGCGTTTGAGGCTTACCGCACAGGCGGGTGGGAACAAGGAGCTTCACAGGTAACTCCCCAAACAGTAGTACGTCCTGAGGAACGTCACGGAAAATACTGTTTCTGTTTTTGAAACTGAGCAGCGCGCGGCAACAAGTCTCTTGGTGTTGTACAGTAGTCGCACGCTTAGGGTTGGTGGTAAGTGATGACTGCTCGGTTTGAACAACGAACACAGACAGAGAGAGAGTAAACAACAGACAGGTACTTCCTCTGCAGTTCTCCTGTGCTTCGTTGTGCCGACTCCGTGACCTACCGTCGGTCATTGTTTTGTATGACGGGTCGTTTCTCCCCTGTGGTGATCTAAACCTACTGCATTTACTTGGGTGTATCATCCTGTTCGACAGGATCAATCGCCGCAGCACACACAGCATTCCCCGACGAAAGGCTCGAAACAAAATTAACCACGAACGCCCGTACTTCCCGCTCTCGCAAACAATCACACGACGGTATACTCTCCTTTGCAGGTGCACCAGTTTTGAGACGGAGCGGGTGCTATCCCTCCCGCCACGAGTAGACCTGAGTGCAATGACTCTTACGGCATCTCATAACCGGGAACTGTTAGCGCAAGGGACCTTTCAGACGTCCGGGGTAAGAGAAGGGACCTTTTCGTAAGTCACGATGGAAATGTTGGGAAGGCACCAGTATTGGACTACCGTGAGTAATGTGGGCTCTGCATATCTGTGTCCCAGTCTGACTCCAGGTTTACACATGTGTAGGTCAAGGGCGAGGCGGTTTGTGTGGTTCTTTATTTTGTAAACAGCCAAAAATACTGCAGTGCGTGTACACATACATAGTCTAGACCGAACATATGTATCAGAGAGCGTGCCGCCCGTAGGACAAGCACAGACCGCGGCTTTGGTACGCGAACGTGTTGGTAACCTTGTCGTCTGGTACTCGAATGCCTAGTCCTTCCGGGGTGATGTAGATTACGCACTTCCCTGAGGGACCGAGATTTATGGGTGCTGTGCTTGCGCGACTAGAGATACGAAATACCATGTGGTAATGAAGTAGAACGCAAGTCGATCACCTATTAGTCTAATAGTCACAACCCATGCACAGTCGATCACACAGTTAATAATGATCGAAAACCATAGAATCGATTATGCCAAATTTCTTGTGCGTACAAGCGGGCGGGTTAAGTAATGTACAATGTACATGTCACGTCTCATATATAGAAGACATGAAGTCTTCGTAAAGAGGAGGGAGAGGACCTGGTGTGTTGTTGGTCGTTGGTTACTCTCCGTCACGCCCATCTCACAAACGTGGCAAGTGGCAACAGTATGGAACATGACGGGCCAGGCAAGTAGCTGCATGGATAGCCTTTGTCGAAAGATCAAGAACCGTTTTCTGTCCTTCGTCGCTCGATCGCCTGAAATGTCCTTTTGTCTGGCATGGATCGGGAAGTTCAGGAGGCCGGGGTCATCGCGACCCCTTATTATGACTGGCACAAAAAAACGGTTCACCTTTTACTTCGTTTACGTTTTTTGTTTTTTGGTCCCCCCAACCCGAGCGTCCTCATCTTCCCTTGCACACATCCATCACGAAAAGACCCCCCCCTCCCGTGAAAACTATCACACACTCGACCGATCGAATCAATCCAAATAACCCCAAGTCAACAGTCGAATCCCCTTGCCCCCTCCGTCTCGCACAACCCACATTGCCGAGAGGAGACGAATCGACAGGCGAAGCAACGCCCAGGCCACGCCTCCAAGAAACGGAACGGAAATATCAAGAAACGTAGACTATAGGACTAAAACGAAGAGAAAGCAAGATGACCAGATCACGACATGATGAGCAGCAGCCGGGAGTACCACGGGAAGCTAGAGATAGCGCGACAAGCAGGAGCGAAGGGTTCATCGCCAGACAAACGAGAGGGGTCGAATCCCTCCCCCCTACTCCGTCCAAATTAAAAAAAAAGACACAACGAATATCCCAACCGGTTCAATCAAGAGGTGACCGCCCTTGTCTAAAATAGTAGTAATACGTAGTCCCTTGAACGGTGCCGACACTTGAGTCGCAACGCGCCTTGTGGCAAGACGAGCGAGCAGCTGCCTTTTCCGCTCGCAGCACGAAGAGGCTCCCATCCCAATCCTGGGAATCTGACAGCCCCAACACACTACTGATGCTGTGTCCTGCTACACTACGCTACATCCTCCATTCGGCTTGGCCCTTCAACCTTTTTCGTCGGCACAACGCACTCAAATGGGTGCCAGGCGAGTGTGGGCTTCAGACCAAAGGCTCGCGCAGTT